TGTGTGTGTGTGTGTGTGTGTGTGTGTGTGTGAGAGAGAGAGAGAGAGAGAGAGAAAGAGAGAGAGAGAGTATTGATTCGTTTCTGAATAAGGTAGAAAAATGGCTCCAGATTTATAAGAAAAGCTCAAGGCAAGAGAAAAACCCCACTCGGTCCTACATAACGCATATACGTCATAATTAGATGCACGGATACAACACATATATTCAAGTTCACTACAAAAAAAATACAGACACAAGGGGACCAGGTTCAGGTTAAGTAGGCTCAATTATGGGCAGTCGTAGGGGTCCTCATGTCATTTATCATCACATCAAGAAAATAAAAAATATGTGGTGTTGCATCTTTCCATGTTCCAGTTGAACAAACATTATCATTTTTTTCACTTGGGGTCTCACTCTATTCCTCACAAAATTTGCAAAATGAGCATGAACCTTCCGCTAGGACATGGGAAGATACACCACCATAGTTTTTGTCGTTTGTACATATGGTGAGTAGTGGAGCGAGTCCCTTGACGTGTGATGGACTAAGGCGCATAAAATTTCTCCTACCTTCACACTGTCACTTTCTTGACTGCAGTTCATCAAACAACGCAAGGTACTGTCTTGCAAACAACACAGAGAGGGAGAGGGGGGGGGGGGGAACCACTACGGKGGGTAGCGTGTCAGTGACTGGGAGCAGACGACCGACACTAATCTCGAAAAAATAGTAATAATAACAAATTAAATATAGGTTTTCCTTTTTTGAATTTGAATAGAAAATTATAGAAAACATATGATTTTTAATTCCAATACAACTTATATGCTTTTTATTCAAAGTGTCCGTCTATTCGATAAAAGTGGACCAACTTCCAAAACTTCATTTATTTTTTTCTTAACTCGAATACAATGCATATACATTATGCTCGGAGGAAGGCCGTAGTGTATTAGCTGTGTGAAAAAGTGCATGTTGGCCTATATCGTCTTAGCTTATCGGAGAATCCTGACTAAGTATCACTCTTCCTCCCTTTAAAATTTGTGTGCCCCCCGCCCCCCCCCYCYCCCCCCCCCCCAAAAAAAAAATCACCCTTTCGACTACCGTGTTGTTCATAAAACTAACGATTGATATAACGATCATTAAAAATACATTGTGTGTATAAACATTGTCGAGCGCATCCGTCTCACACGGGGACCCTCTTGACCACGTTACGCAAATTTTCGGCAGCAGGTACGCAATGTATTTTAAAGCAGTATCGCTCCGACCTAGTACGTCATTTATACCTCTCTCAAGTTCATACGAAAGGATAAAACCTATAGGAGTTGTCATCATTTTTAGGTGGGTGTATCCCCGCCGAGCTATTGGTCCACATGCGAAAACTTTTATATGTGGTCGCGGAGGTGAATCAGTCGAGGACGTTTCTCGTTCGTTGTAGCATAGCGGCTACACACGGTCGATGCCCGAATCAAATCCATGCGTGCATCAAAGTTTGGGACGTAGATCTTCCAAGCGAACTTTACGTCGGTCGACTATGATGATCAGTCTAACCACGCGATACTTTTTCTCAGAAACCTTTCATTTGAGCAACTCCCGCCTAAAAAAAAAATCCCAATCGTCTCATAATTGCTTCAGTATAGGTTCATTAAGTGTCGCTTGAAAAGTTTGGCATAAATAGCGCAGTGATGCAAGTGTCGTAAAAATAGTTGATCATATGTAAAAACATGAATGCTCAGTATGTCGGCGTATTATGTAGTATCCATGACCACGCGCCCCTCAATGATTTAGAGGTTTGCCTTGAACACTTCAGTGTCAACTGACATATGCGCTAATAGTAAAACCCCTTAGCGTTGAATAATAGCGGGTGTGATTGTGCGCTCTACCCTTTTATGCACACTACTATGAAGATTGGGCGCGGTGACTTCAACGATAAGAGGCCTCGGGGTGTTGGCATCAAACCCTCGGTTCTCTTATCCAGTACATCAACATTCCACCAAACAATTTTAGACAAGGAAAAATCTTACCGAGTTTGCATGTGTATGCAACTTATCATACAACTTGGGTCTACGTTGAACGTGCGTATGCGTGAGTGTGGCTCAATCATACAATATGCAATGTAAAACACCACGACCTCATGTTTCACATGCATGCTTTGCTTTTTAATGGACACGCGGTAAACTTGCGTACAAGCCCCAACCATTTTTCACCTTCCCACAATAAGATACCTAGTTCTTTATAATAACCATTTAAAAAACGTTTGGGTAAAAAAACGAAGACACGTGTAAAATCCAAGGGGCTAAGGCCTTAGGTTGAGAAACAAAACCATATAAAGTTGTGTTGGAAACCGATATGTTATCAAATTATAACAAAAAATGAGTGATCCTTGATAGATAAGGCCGAACTAATCGAACCTTCAAACACAAACTTGCATCATAGTACATGTCAAATAACCATTGTTAAAATGAATGGAGAGTACACTCTATATTGTAGTTTAACTTATATATTAATCTTCTCCCCACCTCTCCCTGATTGGTACCAAAGATTACTGGAAATTTTGACAGCATCCCCCTTAAACAGGGTAGATTGTCAAAAAAATCATAATAAAAAATATATCTAACTCCGTAAATTCACATAAATTTCGTCAGCACCTGAGAAAGTGGACTACCAAAAATTATACTTAGCGAATTTTTAAATCCAACGTGTGACAAAACTCTTACAAAGATAAATTTTGTATGACTTCTTTAATTCATAATTTTTTTTTTTAGCATTTATTCTAGAGGAGTAGGCTTCGAAGATTTTTACGAAGTCAAAAATCAAATCAGACTACACCTGACTTTGTAAGGATAAAATTTGACGAACTCCTCTGGATTAGTACAAATTTTGACAACACTTCCTCTAATAACTATTAAATTTATATTAATTCAATGCAACTAGACTTTGGATAAACTTTTGACATTTAACTTGATTGTCATATCCAGAGGTAGTTCTCATGATACCTCTTTGAAAACACAAGCGGTTATCGGGTAGCTGAAAATTTTGAAGTGAGAGTTTTGGGAAGTCTGAAAATTCTGAATGGTCCTGAAGTGATGAAAGGTCCGAAGACCATGAAAACCACCTGTTTAGGCAGACTGCATCCTGGAGCAGTGAAGGGTGTTTTGAAGTGGTCAATGGAGAGTTTTTGGCACTCTGGAAATCCTGAATGGTCCTGAAGTGGTGAAAGGCCCGAAGACCATGAAAACCACCCTTCACCACTTGAGGATGCAGCCTCCCTAAATATGTGGTTTTCAAGGTCTTCGGAGCTTTTAC